TACTAAGAAGCACACATACATTATACAAGTGGAGGCACGTTCTTAAAGTACCTTAGCTGTAAATAAGACGTTAAACAAAATAAAACCCAAACAATGTTGTTGTTTTTTCACTCAGATAAAATTTTAATTTTCAGTAATTATATTAATGACGTGAAATACCATTTTACTTTTTATTCAATGATTCATATTTTTTTCCTTTAACAAAAACATTCATTTGATTGACAAACAGAGATACACATACCGTTACGACTACAGAGGTCTTGACACACTAAAATTAGGGACCGCTGGTGTGAGAGTGAGATAGGATACATCCCCACTCATTCTTTGTGGAGGTGACTCGCTGAATATTTCTACGTAATATTCTCAATATTGTAAACTTTTTATGAAATCTGATTCTACGTATACCTATATCAAATGATACTTTGTCAGGAAAGTCATACGAATATCTTGGCATTAAGGATAATACCGGAATTGTTCACACCCTGTTCGGATGTAGGTCTTTGCAAGTGTAGTCTCAAAACATGGGACGCCATGAGAGAGCTATGGGTGTGTGCACACGATTTTCTGTTGGCTTGTCAAACTATTTTTATAACATTATATGAAGGGTATGTTAAAAAACGATATATGTGTGTATTCCTTATCGCATTGCGTCAACCGTTGGCGTCGAGTGCAATGCATACAGCAGATCAAAAGAACAAGATAATTGAAAGATTGACTTAAACTAATATTATGTACCAACAATTGCACATAATGATGCGCCAGCATCTCGAAATGAGCATATGCTCCTTATTGATATAAATAATATAAATTGCAAAATGTCTTAAAACCTTTTGATGAATCCAAACATTCATTTTCTGTTGATGTGAAGACGACATGATGTTATCCTTTTTAATATTATGTGAGAAACTTCCAAAGAGTTATTTACAATGTACCATGTTTTCAATGTAATTTAGATAACCGTGTATTAACGTTTCATGCAGCTTAATTCTTTAAACTAATTTAAAGCAAATAATTACAACGCAATGTATAAAACAAAATTGTTTTAAGATCTCATGTTTTTATTCACAATTATACTAAACTAAAATAAGTTTTCTGGCCAGATGTTTTATTTTTATTTTTGTTGAATAATTTCTATGGTGTTTTTTTTTCTTTTTGATTATTTTATATTTAACATTTCCTGGTATGCTTTAAGCATTCAGATGCATACACTTTGTAAACATACTTTGTAGGATGACGTATTTTAGGAACAATTATTTGTATAGAGAGCCACAAAGTATCATATGTGTTTTGCTCTTAACGATGATTTCTCACATTTCAAGTTTAATTGTAATAACCAAATAACATCGCATGCTGATCAATTATAATTTCTTTTCAATCAGTTGTGGGTTTTTCTAATCATTACGAGTGTCAATGACAAAAGGTATATGGGAATAAAGTACACACAGTATCATAGTCAATTACAAGGACGTTAAATCATATACAAACAAGCAAACACCTGATTTTACAGTGACAATGATACGATATGTTCTATATGGATGGTTATATTAAATGCATTGATAGCTCATCTAATGCAAATTGCCTGATGCGTGAAACAGTATAACGTCATTCAACGAAGGGTTATGTTTATTTCAAAAAACCATTAAAAAATCCACTGCATTAAAGATAGTATAACTCATATCATTATGTAAGAAATGTAGACCCATACACCTCTGGTTGAGACACGTTTCAATACTTAAGAAAAATATCAAATATGTTTTCATTTATTTTGTATTTATCAAACACTTCAAACCATATATAAATATAAATCATCAAAATGCGAAGTCATTAAAGTTTCGATCGTGTTTAGCTTTGAACATTTACAAATTCCTCACGTAGTTCTGTCGTTTTAATAAAGTAACAACATTGAAATAACTGACCTTGCACAAAGAAATGCAATATCATGCTAATTGTTCATAGTACAAAGAGAACCACTGGCAGGTGCGTCTTCTGCGGTCAACCGGTGTCTTTGATCGCAGGCGTTCCTGTTTATCTTACAATGACGAGAACATTATGTGTGTCTCTCTGTTACATTGTCGGTTATATCGATAGCACACTCATCAAACCATTATGACCTTTGCATGAAGCATTGTTAGTTCCATATCATTTCAACAAACGTAGTTGATATTTATTCATTTCATGATGTTAACATGTCGAATTCGAGTTAATTTTTCTCTTTCAGTATGGATTCTACGCATAAAATGATTTTGTGTTCATTGTGTGTGTGTCATGTATAGTTATTTATGCTTGAATGTATAATGTAGTTGTTTGCTGCCGTATTTGTCATAGTATTTTATTTTTGTTAATTGTGTTAATTTGAATGAATACTTGATTTTATTTATTGGCATCTACAATCAATTAAAAAAATGGTAATTTCCGCTGTTTATGAGAACGTTTTAAGACAAACCCAAACACTGCATTCAAACAAACCAGCAATATGTTCTTAGTTAAATCAATGATAATTCATTTAGAAAAATGTATACATAATAATTCATAATATGCTGATAGTTTTTTCCCACGTTTATGACTGATCCTCTTTTAATTAAGCTAACAAGTTTATGACATGAATGTTTTGCCCAAGACGTTAACTTGTACTGATACAATCGCCTTCCGCTGGGTGATTCGGTTGTGCCGGAGTTTTATAGCCCTGTCATGCGTGGTAAAGGGCGGGGCAGGAGGTGGGCCGGGGCCATGCCGTGTTAGCTTCACACACAGGCATTATGGTATGGCCTCGCACCTCTCTTGTGTCATAAAACAGACCTGGCATGTACTGATCTCACGAATAGCTTCGAATCGGCTGTGCTACATACATAGAGAAATAAGCAATCGAACAATATTTTGGATATCATATTTGTGTAGTATATAGAAATATACATACTTATATAAACTTTTATTCAATTTCACATGAAAATATATATATAAATTAATTAACTAATTATTAAAAGGTCTGTATCATACTTTTGCACTGTATAAAAGATACAAAGTTATATATACTTATATTGTAAAATTCAATTTCAAAAGAAAAATAGATGAAACACATTTTTTTAATTATTACCCAAAGCTAACTAGTCCCTCAAAATAAATTAAACATCAATTATTTCGGTCCATGGTCATTCCTGCATGAAACATTAGTTTGGAGGACATATTTGACATTTCAGTTTAACTTCAACCAGGAGAAAGACATTAGCATGGCCTTTACAAATGTATTTTTAATAAAACTCAAGATTTCTCGATATCCAATTACATAATGGTTGTTGTCAGCACCCTGCCCTGTACAGTTTGAAATAGATAACATGTTTTCATTTTGAATACCATAGTACACAAACGAATGCATTTAATTATGTGTGAAACATCAAATTGCTGTCAGATATCCGATAAGGAAACCTGACAGAAACTTGATGGAAAACGAACGGCTAAAACGTGACAAAGAACTTATTTCATATAGGCGATCTAAAGGAAACAAAGCACAAAACTCATATATAATATTCATTTTCCCATATAATTCAAAATTGTGTAGCCCATTGTAACGAAATTGTGTGCATTCCCTTTTGCTTTCAATAAAACCAGTATCAGTTAGGGAAATGATTTTCTTTTATTCCGTTAGTTTCTCCGGTATTCGGTTATATGTTGATCATTGTTTTTACCATGTTGCTTACAATGTTGCGGTGCATTTATTTTTAAGACAACCGAGAATGTTTGTACATGGGTTCACTAGTTCCGTTATTAACTCGATCTGGTTGGAAAATGCGCTTGGTGCTTTCGGCAGTGCATTTCTGTGAGGTAGCACTGTAAATTCACTGGCTGAAATGACTTTAGCTGTTCATAGGAGGCCAAACCCATTAAACCTTAACCCGAACATAAGCACTCTTGTGATATTTTCCTCTTTATGCATTTGTCTTCGCGATTTTGCGTGGTGAAATAACGTTTTTTTTATTCAAATTTAACTTCCACAAAAGAATACCGAGTGTCAACAAAACACAAAATTCGACCTCAAAATGATTAAAATGAAGTCAAAATATGAACAAAAGATATAATTACATTGAAACCATTGCAAAGGTACAATTATATCAGACCAGGTGTTCCTGAAGGATCAGCGTCTTCTGTTTCATCGACGAAACTTGCCGTACAAATTAACTTCAGATCGAAGTAATTATACGTCCTCTGCGCTAGAACTAGGAAAGTGAGAATGAAATGGCAAGATACCCTAATGATCAAATCAAATTTCAATTATTCATAATTCGTAGTGAGCATTCAATTTTTAATAAATTGAACTATAACTGTTAATTCAAAACGTTTCGATCAAGTGATAAACTGAAATCGTCTCCATGTTGTTGACACACTTATGTCTAGCCATGCCCGGGGAGCTTATTTTTTTGAAATAGTGTCACTATCTTCCTATACGTATTATCGAAACAGACATTGTATAATTAACACATTTTTATTTTCGATTTTATTCTATTAGTGTAAGGCATGTGTATTTATTTGAAAATAAATGAACTGCATTTAAACTGATATCTTCAAATTTCTTCAAGATTCATCAGTTTGGAAATATGTAATACATTTTACTTTATACACAATGTACTTGTTGGTCTTGAAATATTACGACACGTTTATTACGTACGTTGTGTATAGAGTAAATTTTATATTGCATTTTATCTATATTATATATTTTTTGTAATGAAATAATGCTTATAACATCTGCTGCTGCACTTCAATGATAATTCTAGCGCCTACTTTAGCACCTGCTATATCATAACTATGTCCGATTAGAAAGTTACTAGGTCATGAGTGGCAAGTCCCAAAATGATATATTCTATTTCTCATGCTCACAGATACATTATATAGCACTGGTAATCCCATACATAAATGCAAAACGCTGTTTTATGATTACGATACACATAGTAAACAACAAATTAATTATAAATTATACATCAAAATAAACAACAATTCAGACAAGTGTTTTCTAAATAATCTTTATTTATCAATTATATCAATTTAAATACTGAAACAATAAAATGATATTATGAAACACTGAGAAGAAATGACGTTTTTTATTGCTCCCTGCCATTATGTATATTTGTATGACGTCATTGTATTTTCAAGAATATTTTAATACGAATCAAATATATACATTCCTTCATTGATATTTAGAAAATGAAGGGTAATTCCCTTCAACAACAACATTAATAGTAAATGTAATATGAGTTAGTTTTAGGAATTGTCATGTCAAATATGATACATTTTAGCCGAATTTATTCTTCATATAAACAATGATCAATGGTACATATTCTGATAAATATCAAGATGAAAACAATGTATATGAAAATAAACAGTGAAACGATTGTTTCTATCTCTCTAAGCATCATAAATGTCAGTAACTACAATTATTGTTAAGAGGAAATTTCATTTGTGATTTAATGATCGTATATTAACGCTTTAAACAGATCGAGGTGTGGACATTTTTGAGCTGTTAATAGTTCAGAAATCATTATATTCAATATATATATAATCCATATATAAATATTCGCGTGCAGAAATTTTCGTCGTAATTTACACAACATTAAAAACGCAAACATTTCAACACCGCGAAAATATATGATTTTACAGTAACTATAAAACAACACATATAACTTCTTCGTTTCAAAGTATACGTGTTTTGTATGCGAATAGTTATGTTCAAACGGAAGATTTTTAATGTTTTACAACTATGATATTGTGATGTAACATTTTGTAATGGAGTACATGTATTCACCAGCATTGGAACGTTCAGCTATGGTATGCAAGTCTCAAACGTGTTTCTGTTTCTATATGATGCTTTGTATAAACTATTACATTCACATGTTTTTTTTTACTGAAGCTTAACTTGTTTTGAGCCGTATAATAAAAAAAGAAAGTGAATAGAGTTCATGCTCTTGCGCATTCAAATCATCTGAAATATCCTATGATATGTGATAAAGCGAAATCAAGGGACTATCAAATATTTAGGTTGATAAGATTGTGAAAGGGTAACAAAATATGAAAAAAGTATATAAAAAATATCAAGTAACTGATATTGTAAGTCACACAGCTGAAGACAATTGGCATGCAACACGCAAAGGATTATCCTAGCAATCTATTGTATCAAATTAAAGGCAGATGTCTGACTGTCTCGTCACAAAAACCTTACAACAATATATATCGTTTAGTCTGTTTGTAAATTTATACCAAGAGAAATGATTTAAGTTTCATTTTTGATAGCATATGGATCAACCGAAGCAGAAACATTCCATCCGTCACCCATCCGTCACCTCCATTTCAGTTTCATAAATTTTGCCGAGTAAACAATTTTGACAATCTGGTTTTTCACAAACAGAAAAATGAAACGGACATTTTGAATGGTCAAAATAGTCGGCTTGAGCATGGCATGGCTAAACACAAATTTATCATGCGAACAATGATAAGTAGAAAGTACAAACATTAATTTAGCAGGGCAATAACACAATACACAACAGATGGCTAGATTCATGTCGGATATCGACAGCACTTTCTTTTTTATATAATACTGCTTGGTCACATACTTCCTGTATAAATGAAAATGTTCACCATCTGGAAACACTTTCTTTTCGCGCAGTGTAAATTAGCGCGAAAATATCAAAACAGGAATATGAATATGTATAGAATTAAATACATTAACACAACTAGCGAAATCCGAATTGGCAACAAAACCTTAATTTGAAATCAAACCCGATCAAACTATGACAAAATATAAACGGATGGAAGATCGACATGGAGAACATCGGAAAAGTAAAGGAGAATAAGACCAGGTGTTCCGGATGATAAAGCGTGTCTGCTTCATCGATGACACTCGCCATACAAATCCAACAATTATCTTTTTTCTGCTTGTTCGAATATATTGACACTTTTGATTAATACATGTATGTCAAAAACCTATAGTATATGAAGTCATTTTGACTTAATATTAAAAATAGAGTAGGGTTATTACTCTTTAGAATCAATTTTATAGTCCAATATTGTTCTTTATGACAATCATCATCACTGACATTTACGGCCCTGTAGCTTATGGGAAAGAAAGAACCTGCCGTATACCACTACAAGATAACGTTTGAGGTGACTAAATTAGGGGTCCTGTAGATTCAGGTCTTTATCCCTTCTGTGTCTATTGCTTAGGGACATCAGAGAAACCAGCATTGACCTTCTACATTGTACCCCTATTGCAACTCTTATGATTGTCAGATGATTTTGCCATTTTGATAATTCAATTTTCACTAATTGTTTATTAAGATTGAATGGCAAAAAACCACATGAATGTTAAGTTATATTTTCAAAAATATAACACGTTAATGTAAATTTAATAAATCTTTCTCAAAACGTATTGTAATAATCTCACACATACAATATTTTAAGGATAAACAAGTTTTTTGACTGGTAATGCCTAATTTCTGGTGTGTATATACAAATTACGATAACATGGATGAACATTGGTATGACAACATATAAAGGAATATTTGATTCACATCCATATGTAACGAAAAATCATATCAGTTGATCAATACTTACACCACGTGATGAATTGTTTCATCAGGATGAATATTTATATCAGGTGATAAATAATTTCATCAGATAATGAATAACTTCATCAATTGGTGAGTAAGTTCATCAGGTAATGAATAACTACACCCATTGATGAATAATTACATCAAATGTGAAAACATTTCACAAATTGATGAAAAACTTGACCAAGTGACATTAGAAATCAGTAATAGCCCTTTCACTTGATCAGTTGAATTCATTTCAGGTAGAAGATTTATATTAAATGATGAAAATATATACATATGCTGATAAATTAATGAAAAATTTCTTTTAAGACATTGATTTTCTTTAAAGAATAATGTTAAATGGTAGGACAATGCTAGTTGAACACGAAAATTCCAATTGTTATATAATCTGTGAGCGATGCAAGTCTTTATGGGGGATAAAAGAGGCAACCCCGGATAACACGATTAAAAATGGCTGTTGACCTTCTACCCTGTAAAACAAAGTCTCAGTGTTCCATTGTACTTACATGCGCTTAAGAATTAAATGCAAATACTTCCTCCATATCTCGCCATGTTCTTACAACCCACTTACTGGCTTAACAGTGCTAACTCACTTTTCACTAGCTAGCTACACTAGCCCGTATGATGGGGAAAAGGATTTTTCCAATTGTTTTTATCCTTATTTTGAAATCGACGTTGAAGAACTTATGTCCAGGTTGACTACTGTACACATTTCAGTCTTTCGAGTTAAAGTGCAGATCATCACATGTGTTTCATATCGATACAAAGTAGCACTGGCTTACTGCGCTATAGGAAGTCATTGTATCTATACAGGTTGTAGCATCAAGTGAATTCCTAGAATATAGTCTGTGAAAGGAACTGAAGTAAATATGAATTCAAACACTCTGTCCCTGATCTACTTGACAGTATCAATGCGTTTATGTTTATTCCAGTAGCTGAATCATGAATTCCATGTCAATTGTAGCCGGGTCAAGAGGTCAAAATATATTTATATTGCTTGCGAGAGTTGCATCCCATAATACTCACTGCCTCGGTTACGACACAATCACACAAATAACAATGACGAAAACAGCCCAAAACGTTGCTTGATATTTTAAAGCTCCGTTTGATTTAGGTATGGCCTCAAATTTGGCAAACACTGGGGAATGCTTGTCAACCGATAGCAAATCCTCGATTCTATTTGAGGTGACTTTAGGGGCTGAGTCTGAGCATCGAACGAGAGGCTGCTGGAAGGAGGTCGGTCGTAACTCCTTATTCTTATGTGGGACATTGTTGACAGTCCACTGCCCAACGTAGAGAAGAGTTTGTCGTTCGGATGTAACCATTCGTAGTATCTCGAACTCTACGTTCGGTAGTATGATTCCAAGGACGTCACATCCGCCCGTGCTAGTCACATCCTGTTGTTCGTTTATTTTCCAAGCGTTGCGTACACCACAATGTCCGTCATACATTCTTAACGTATTCACCATCTGCTTATTCTTGGGCGTGATTTTCAACCTGATAAGTCTGAAGTTTAACTCTTTTGACCTCGAAATGACCTTAGAAACTTTCCCTCTTGTGTACGTCCCTTTCACAGACAGAGAGAAGCTCCCTTTGCGACATAAAGGATCTTCAAAGAAATCATATTGACCCTGCCACGATTTCCCGTCCTGAAGAAACGACAGTTTTCTGGTTAAAAATTGTCCGTATTGTCTTGTTTCGCATCCGGAGCTTACCCAATCCCCTTGTAAATGGAACTTCGTGGGTTTAGGTCGATCTATTTTTGGCGGGTAATAATCGTTTGAGTTAGCGATTCCATTGCAAATCTGGCAGGTCTTTGTCTGAGGAAACAAAACAAAAATGGTTTCAGATTTAGATGTGTATTCAAGCATATAAAATATAAGAAACAGTGAAAACAATGGGAAAACAAATGATAAAACTAGTCTGGATATTTTAAATATCCAATACGAAAAAGAATATAATATAAAAATCTTTATATATTTTTTTCGAAGAAGTAAATATCTTTTCATTTCTCAACCACCCGAAACAAATGTTGACCTGATCAAAAATATATAATAATTAAGTAAAGCATTTTTTTACTTTTCAATTATCAGTCAATTATCAATTGTTTGCTGTAATTTCAGTTCACATGTATTTTCGACCTTCTATTGGTTCCTATGACCTCTTCTGTGTTGATGGGCCATTAAGAATGTAATGATGAAAATAACGTAATATTCAAACACGAAAAAATTAGAATAGATTCAATAGCTCGTTAGAAAAGTGAAGAATATGGCAAACTAATTACTTCTTAATGAACACATTTTAGCCCAACTTCTAATCTCAATGAAGGCACCTGTCGTTTCAATGACGGAGTCATATCTATTTTACGTATTGTGACATCACTGAAAAGTGATATACATCACAATTTATTTAAGAATTAACTTGAATATATTTTTCATGTTATGGAGGTATAACACAAAAAAACGGAGTGTACTCTAAATAAACCGCGAAGCGGTTTATGATGAGAGTACACTCCGGTTTTTTTGTGTTATAGTTCCATAACAAGAAAAATATATTCAAGTTAACCTTATAATTTAATCTACTATACACAATCCCTGTGGAAATCCACTTTTATTGATGGACTCTTTTCTCTTAGAAATTATTGCGCTGCTGTATCAGCCAATCAAAAGCGACGTTACAAACGGCGACGTCATTTTTTATGCTATGGGCTGATAACATAAATGTTTAAGCCAATGAAAATGCTTGTTACAAGCAAGATTAAATTATAATTAATTCATACGTACAGAAATATTGCATATGCATATAAACTACATAACAGTATTTTTTGTGAAGGATTGGTGTATCGGTTTTATATTCCTACTTTGTAGGAATTTAAACAAACGGTGCGCTTATGAAGTGACACATATGAAATGCAGAGTAAACAAATATATAAGTAATTAATTATTTAATAAGATGATGTTTGTAATGAAATTCGAAATTGATGTTCACGCTAACTATGTCTATCAGTCTATGATAGATAACGATTGGCGCCAGAGATCGTGGCAGTCTTTCCTTCTACAATATTCGATCATTCTGTGTTCCACATGTGGCACGCCAAACACAATTAGGATGGATTGCTCGAGTCGTCGGTGACTAATTGTTACCGATAGGTGGCGCCTCAAGCAAATAATTGTTACCGACAGGTGTCGCCTCAAGCATCTAGCGGTCTTTTCAGTAGACAGTCTAATCTTACGACCTTAAGATAGGACACATTAATATATACGGATGTGTATTGCCACTAATTAATTTTCTCACATTGATAAAGCCAGGTGCTATGTGGTCAAGATATGTCTAGCTGTAATCTTATCATTGTTCATAATTCAATACAAATACTCCTAGGCTACGCTATGGTCAGTTATTACGATAAGATAAAGGTGACCTCTGCAAATTTACGTAGACACAAAGCAATTGGCTGCGTTGTTGGTTCTCGTAAAATACAGTCCTCTCTAACGATACTGTGTTAATTCAAGTTCTACAAAACTTAGGTATGACTGTGCATTCTATCCATATTAATCAGAAGTATATAGTGTTAAGTGGTATCCCTTGAATCTGAAAGAGATCGATAAAAACGGTTTTAAAGCAAACAAATGGATACAACTACATTTAATGCTGCCAGGAAATCCTACACCGCTTTTTTTGTAAATGAAATCCGTTAAAGATTAGTCGTTGATTGATAAGAAATTTCCTCTACCTTAAGGATACATGTATGATAGACTAATCTCCAACCCGAGGGTTGGCGATTTCTCCATTGCACCCTCAAAGTAGGGTAATGGTTGTTTTTTCTCTTATAATTCTAACTCTATGTTTTAAAAAAAAACCAGCTTTCTGCATTTGTAGTCATTTTTTTTTATCTAAATTTGTACATGATCTCTCCCGTCGAGAGCTGATTGTGACGTCATACCATATTGCTCCCGTGACGTCATAGTGCTATTTCTTTTTACACGCTGTCTTTCATACTCTAGGGAGCGAAAGCGAAATCATAAAAAAGGGAGATGATTCTTCGAAAGGTTAGAAATAAGGAGAGCATACATGTTCATGAATACTGTCTGAAGATGTGAGGTATCATTGGGCCTACATGGACGTGACTAACTGACCACAGCGCGTCAGAGAACGGACGTTGATAAACAGACCAGTGTACATATGCTGGTGTATACCTACATGTATCAAGCTATATTTTTACAGGTGGTATGACCCCCAACATAGTTGTTTATTTTTCTCTGATGGAGGGAGGTACGAACAACATCATTCGGATTAATTAGCTTAACGAACTCTCTGAGGTTGATACTAGCCGATGGCTCTTTCAGGAGAACGGGATATGTCTATATTTTCCTGGTGATATTCTTGTAGGCTTGTTATATTTCCTTCATCGTTTCTAATTGTTTATTTTTCCTTCATCGTATTTTTTTTACAGATATCGTTTTTTTTTGTTTTTCGTTCGGAATTTTATTTTATTCAATATTTAAGCTCTTACTAAATTACAAACAAAACGATTGTTTGCAATAATTTTCCAACAAATTGCTTGAAGTACCATTGTCCCACTGCAAGCGAAACACTAGATATTCCACTGTGGTTTTACCTATGTGTAGTTAGTTCCTCTCAATTTCGTTTTGCATATAACTATAGCGCACCTTGGTCAAAGTACTTTCGTTGACTAGGTAGCTCAGTTGGTAAGAGCGACAGTAGAACAAGCTGAGGTCCTGGGTCCATTTACACTCAGAACGTTGTTGTGGATTATATTTTGTATATTTTGTTTTTACTAGATGTATCGTAAGTTATGGTTTTCTTTTCAAAAATTATTTATCAAAGTTATAGTCTAAACCGAAAAACAAAAAACAGTATCCAATATGCGTTGTTTTACTTTTTGGCAGCGGTACATGGATCGTCATGAGTTAAACTCAGAACGTCTTGGATATGAAAGTAAGGTCTAAGATGTTGATATAGAAGTGGTGTCTAGAAATTTGACCAAACAAAATGGGACCTTTGTGATATGAAACACATTTAAAAAAACTTAAGTTATAACATGATTTAATCGAGAACCGAATGGACTTGGTGATTAAGTCATTTCATTGTAAACGTTTCTGAGCTGGTTGTCGCGGCTCAAATTCGTAAAAACATCATTCAAACCGGAAAAGTGTAACAGGTCGTAATAGTTAAACGAATCACGTGTAAAAGTTATCCGGATTCGATACTTAACGTGAGCAGGTGATGATACAATGTGCAGTGTATCTCTCATACAATCGCCAGATGTGATTACACACACTGATTCAGCGCGTTGGAGGGTTATGTATACAGGAAAGCAATGCCACGTATTAGTCTATGAATGAACACGAAACATCACTTGTACAACTGAGATAACCTAAGTCGGTAACAAGAACAGCTATAAATATAGCGCAGTATAACATCAGAAGATATTGGATGTTTTCGTTAAAGAGATATGCGGAATAATCAGTTATTCCGGCAAAAACAAATGACTTAAAAGAAAACAAGAAAACACCAAAACGTTAACAAAACCTAAATTCGGTCTTAGTTATCGATTCATCTAGGGGTAACTATAAACAAATGAAGATTATAGGTACAAGGGAACCTTAGGCCGTGTGTGTTTAGAAAGATGAATGTCTTTTATGTCTACGTAAAATCTCAAAAAGAGATCCTGGGCAAAAATAATGAAACCACAAGGGACACTAACGATCATAATGGAAAAAGTCGATAAACACATCGCACAGAAAAATAATATATTTCCCAATTAGATCAAGATCGAGGCCATTTAAATTGCTAATGGTCCTCACCAACATGCTTCTCTCAAAGCCTTGTTTTGCAAGATGAAAACATATTTTGTCTTCCTTATAGGGAACGATTCTGACGTTACAGTTTATGGAGTTTATTAGATTTTAGTACATTTTAAACTAACGTTTATACTATAAAGTCTTCCCAAGAAGCCACGGCGTTATTTATCTCCAATGCAATACATTGTGTTTACCTTCAACGTGTTACTAATGGAATACAGACGATAGATCATTATAGGATTCGAGCTATGTTATAAGTAAGGTTTATTTGGTTTTATAAGCATACCTTGTATCAGTAAATTAAATGTCTGTTCTTGGACAAGTTTTATAAAATATTACTCAATGGAGCTTATAACAATATTCATGGGGAAAACATGCTTTGTCATAATACCCTTGCATACTTAGATGAAACACCGCGGCGGCCATGTTTGATAACCGATAGGAAGATGAAACTCGTTACGCATATCTATATAATGAAGAAGAAGAAGAAGAAGAAGAAGAAGGGTAATTATATTTAGAAACACAGCAAAATCAATGAGTCCCTCAATTAGTTTAGGGGACTTAATTATGTGTTTGTTAACCCTTACCTTAGAGTTCCTTAGTCCCGTCTGATAGCTTGAAGGCCTATACGTATGACGTTGGCTTCTGTCCGTATGGATATCGCCTAACAATAAGTTCACCTCTTCAAAACTTTTTGAATAACGAGAAGGATACGTGCTGATTTTATTTTTATCCACTCTTCCACTCTGACGGTGAACTTCCACTCTCAGAAGTTGGAGTTCATGAAATGTAAGATTGAACAGTTGTGTACAATCATAATCAATATTTCTGTGTTTATGAAGTCTATATTTCTTGTACGGTGGGAAATTCATTATTTGATAACTCCGATAGGGCTTCCACGTGTGACCTTTCACCCCTTGGCATTGTTCTCGCACTTTAAACCAAAACTCTTTCGCGATGCGTTCCTGAAACGGAATTATGGATACGTTGTGTAGTCGATATTTAGCTTCCATGCCCCCTGGTACGATCCAAGATGGCCGAAGCAGTTTGATGGTGCCATGGGCTTTGACACCGTAGAGAGGTTCCGCACAGTCTGGACCGGAATAGTAATATTGATGAAGTTGGAACTTTCCACGTTTAAAGCGATACTTCCTCAACAGAAATTCGGGACCCGGACGAATTTCACATCTGAAAATAAACAAATAAATAAATAAATTAAATGATAATTGAAATCGTTATATAAAGCTGTGTTTGTCTATGCAATATATAATATGTAATTTACTTTTGAGCAATTCCTCACGTATGTATATCTCTGTAAAGGAAACTTGCGGGAATACCCGCCCACAAACTGGTGTTATAAGTATAAAGTTTATTTATATTACAAAAAATCAACTTATGATGATCGATCATTTTCGGCCCGGATCGCAGCGCTCCGGGTGTATTAATGTGAGAGGAAACCGGAGTACCCCAAACAAAAATCCCACATGGTCAGGGGCCTTTTCTCTAATACCTTTTTATGTCCGATCGGGGAGTGGAACCCCGGTGAGATGCCGGCGCGCTATCCATTGCGCCACCCGACCACCTTAGATGTGTTCCGAAGAGATAAGAGTTGTATATTGCTTGTGTTAGTTTGGCTGATTGAACAACTTTACGTGACTGTACTATGTCACTTAACAACGGCGCCCATGGTTGATAAGGACGCTCAATGTTTAAAGAACAGAGAATGTCATAACATTGCCAATAAAAACATACCTTCCCAAGAGGCCGAAGTGTTCTCACATCGGGTAATAGCCAGTGAGGTTTACGAAAGTAAATGTGACAGCGAAGAGAAAAGGAAGATATAGATAAATCGAATGTTGCCTTGAGTCCAGCGAATCAACTCTGTTCTCTTTTATGTTCTCAAATAAAGGCCAAAGAAAGTATTGGGTTCTACAGAGGCTCACGAGGAAAAAATAGAGTATAAAGGCACAGTTGGAATAAATAAAACAAAATCTGCAGCAGGAGCAGGCAGTGAAAAAGGTTCTTCAGGGGTAAATAAGGATAATGAAATCAACAGGCAACACGGGAGAAAAATATCTACAAGTGCAAATGCCGCAGGAGGAGAGATACAAATATCAATATGTATAGGGGCGAAGGAGGAAAGGACATGGGCGAAACAGAAGAGGAGTTCAGTGGGTGAATGGAATTAAAGGGGATGGGGTGCGTGGAAGTAACGGGTGATTCTGAAACCTTATTTTTCCTGAATGTTGGTAATATTAGGGGTCATGTTGTCTTGCCTTTCGTGTTTGTATTTCCTCGTTTCGTAATGCTGTCTATTTTGGTATCAACTTTCAGTTCCAATTTTATCTTTCCGTGTACAATATGTGGTTATCTTTTGTAACATCGCAAACACTTCAAATTGTCCTCGCTGGCTGTATATTTAATACACCTATTTAAATACAACACTTCATTAAATTCTTTTTATCTGGCAGTCAGCCCTGCACACTCCGACTAAGAAGCGTCTAGATAAATACAGCTGATTTAACTTCAACAAAAACTACACCGTTACAAAATAGCTTCACCTGAAACGTGAACCACAGAAACGGTATATTTCTTTCGCTGTTGTAAAAAAATAATGCAAACATTTATAGTTAAAAGTTGAACAAATAAAGATTCAACGAAATTAAATGTTTATCAAATCTGATTGAAACTTCAAGATAATTCAGTGATCCTATTTTAAACACGCATTCTGAGCGGGGTCCTCTACGGTAAATAACCGGGCGATTTGAAATAGGTATCAAATCTACAAAGCATGAAAAGAACGTTTCTTTTTTTTTTACACAAATACAACTAATTGGAAATAAATAAAGATATACCTTTCCTATTTTAGATGTTTTATAGCATAGCACGTCGTTAAAAATAATCACTAGCGAAACCTATTATTTGCAGATCCTATTATGATCCTCATGTTTTATAACGCGCTAGGTGGCGCCACGGGTAGGGTCACCTTTTACAGAAAAAATGTTTTAGAAGAGCTACGGGATTCCCTGAATCTTTTGTCCCATACAGGACACTATACTCGTTTAAATTGGTATCTTCATCTAAAGGTTTACCCCTCTATTTATAGATGAAAATATCACTCTTAAGCTTTCCATCTCTTATAACTATTACACGATCTCGAGCCTACACCAAAGTAACACAGATGCCACATATTTACATAAAACGCTTGATATTTGAGTGAGCGGCTTTATACACTTGTGAGTTATCTCCCGTTGATCGATCAACATGGTTTTTCAGAAAGCAAATCATAAAATGTGTGTTTTCCTTTTTTTATGCAATTATTAATTTCTTTGATGTCCAATCGTCATGATCATATATTTTCGGCAATGTCACAGATACGCAACTTTTTCAGACAAATGAATACATACAACAAAAGATCTGACGTTTGGACTATCTTCTGTAAAGGTATTTGATGTTTATCTCATTTTGACCATCGTTTATCTAAAACTTCTACCGTAGTGCTGCTCCTTCATAGAACAGTGAAATATGCATGTATTTCTCAGCGCATTGTCTGTCGCTATGACGGATCATCAGTACCACGCTGTGATACTAACAAGTGGTAGGCATGGTGACCACACACGATGAACTACCCTTAACGGGGGTTCACTGGCTGTAAATTGTACCTGTGTGATAGAATCATGTTAACTCTACATCTCACCTGACGCGTGACCTTTCGGGACAACAAACGAGTAGACGCATTACCGCGAGTACGCTTTCACATCCTATGTGTTCCGGACAGCCGCACGTAAATACGTGTTTATCATATGAATTGTATTTATGAATATATGAAACTGTGTTGTATTTTTCATGTGCATTCGATCGTATAAATAGCATGTACTTTACAGGAAACTTTAAGAAGAATCAACAAATTGTTTGCTAAAATTAAAATTAAAAGATCAGTCTAGTTTCTTTTAAAACGCTTACACAATACGCAATGAAATTGAAGCAAGGGAACATTCTCGTCAGATCAGTCAGCTAACATTAATTATTCAAAATATCATGAGACAGTTTGGGACCAGTGATCCCCCTTTTAGAACACCCTGTTAAGAGAAGACAGATGTATATGTTTCTTAATAATAGAATGAAAAATGGTCGTCTGTTTCACGTGAGGTTTTCGGTTACACAGACGACCCCCGTGGCTAAGTCCACGCATGGTACAAACAAGATATGAAGTGATTTAAGAGATGGTAGTATTATACTAATGACCTAAATCCTTACTGATTTACATTTAATAGATATTTTAATTGAAAACTTATATTGGACAGAGACATATAATATAAAATTTACAATTACGTCGCAGTACCGATAGCGGTATTTATATACATTAATAATGCCACAGACCTTGGATTCTGGTGCATTACAACTCAATAATTTATAAAACATCTTCAATTCAATTTCATGACAAATTCTTAAAAAATAGTTGTAAAGAAATGATTGTATCATTATTTTGTTGTAGTGGTATGCGCTCAAGATTTTTGGTTTGCATTTATATTTTCATAAATTCCATGAAACATTACTATAACATTCATTAATTTACAAAGCATCTTAAAAACAATTTCATGACAAATAATGCTTCAAAATATTTATCAAAAATGTATTGTATCATTATTTTTTTGTAGTGGTATACGGTCAAGATTCAGTTGGCATTTCCCTATCCTACACCCCTGAGCATGAAAGAGTCTTATAATATACCACCATGCGTCCTACAGTATCTTAGAATTGTGCTATCTTCTGTACATTAACTTTGTAGTTTCCCGTCTTCACGTCGATGCAGACAAAATTCATATTAGATGTTTAGTTTTGCATTTTTTTTTAATGATGTTTAGTTTTGCATTTTTTTATTTTCAAAAATTTAATGGAGTCTTATTTATGAAACATGTTTTTTTAGGCTCCAGAAAATGTAAGAGTATTCTGTGGAATAGCTTTGAAAATATGAGTGACCGAAGATTACCTTTACGTGTTACAAATATAGATTGAGCTTGTTTTCTGGGCATATACTGGCCTTCGTGGAACCCAAGGTTCCACAATCACTCTGTAATAACCCCCGTCCCCGACTCCCCTCCCCCACCCCTGTTCCCTGCCCCGTCTACCTTGCCTAAATATATAAAAATCGCGGGTTATTCAATCGCTTTCTAGAAGGTTGATCAACTCTGGAAGGAGACCAAATGTATCCTTGCTTCGTCTCGTAATTAAGTAAGCTACAATAGAATGCATATTAAAATGTATATAGCGATGAATGAAAACCGTTAACAAAATAATGATAACTGTTTTTTTCCATTCAAAACGCAGATCTTGCTTATCAAGCAAACCCTCCTCAACGCGGTATATGGAATACGATGGCTGGGATCGGTGTTATCCCGCCGTTCTGGGGTCAGTTTAAACAAACATTCCCCGGGATCGTCTTCAAAACAGTCTAGTTCTCCGTTTCATAGTCGGCCTATTCGAACATATCAAATGATTACCAACTTAGTATATCATGACAGATGATCTAAGGTAAATCTGCCCTTTTTTCGCTAGTGTAACCTAGGTTATCACGGAATTCGTTAATAATAGTAGCGCATCATGGCCGCGCTACTACATACCATGCCAGTCAATGATACAGGGAGAAAATTATATTTCTCGAATTACCTTGAAATACTTAACTTCAAACACATGTCCTATAGGCGGACGAAAACGATACCTTCTTTGCTATTGTCCGTGAAGCATTCAATCTAATGGACGACTAAACTTAAATTTGTCCTCCGTCGCATGAAGATTAAAAAAATTAAAATCACAATAGTTTGAGTGTTTTTGGCCATTACGGGATCCGTTGTACTGGCGCGGTCTGTAGAAAAAATCCATGGCCGTCCCGTGCTTGAGTTACCTGTAATTAATGCTTCTAAGCATAGTGAAGAGACACGGGCTCACAACAGGCCTTCGAAGCGTTAGCGTGGATGATTTTATTAGATTAGTGGTTAGATTTGTCACTGTTATTGTAAGACGCGTTTTTTAAAGAAAAAATTCGTTTCGATACTCTACCAATACAACCTGTAATTTTGTCGTCACGATTTTTTTTTCTTACGAAACAAGTCCAATGTCACATTCCGCTGTTAAGACGTATAAATACATTTTTACTGTGTTTCCTCCATTTCAAAAATATTTTCATACTAACAAATTCTGGTGTGGGGATTCAAACTACATTCAACCAGCCGGGAGCTTAGTTTGTTAGAGTGACAATGCAATGATCCGAGGTCCACTGTTCGAGTCCGGTTCTGGCACCGTCAGATTTTAAAACACCCATAACACTGTTTGTTGGTTCTTTTTCTTTACTTTATTTCATTTACAGCTAATGTCATGTTGGCAAAAACGTTTCAAATCTGTATTAACAATTTATTTTGGAAGTTGTACGGGAATCCTTAAACGTAAACAATTGCAAGGGCGTAGTCATATGAAGAATCATTAGCTCAAAGGTGTTGCGTCCCGGCAATTTAGTTATATATTAAATGTACATACATTTTAAATATTTTAATTCGGATATGTCGGAGAATTAATTTTGTTCTCTATTTGTTCATGGTCAATATGTCAACAGCACTTCGAAATAACAACGGTCTGCTATTTATTGCATCACACCTTTATCCAAATGATCACAATAGCATAATGCCGGCAGCAAATCGAGTGTAGGAAACTGGTGAGATTGTTGCATGTTTATGTAGAAACTATTTTGGGAATCGAAACATCTGCTCTATCATGTTAACGTACGAGCAACAATGTCAGAAACAGGTCAATGAGACAATGTTGAAACGACGTGATCTTGTGTCAATAATTACGCTGACATTCAGTCTATTTCGTTTAAACTTTTACACCATTCTTTGAAACATTTTTCAAGTTATTGAAGCTTTTATTGTGTAATTAAACATTAAGTTAACGAAAACGAATAAACATTGGGGAGTAAAATCACACCTTATCAAGCGAAAGTTAAATAGACCAACATTGGCAGACGACAAAATTGTCACAGCATCCATCATTTTGAAAGAAGTACAAGTGGCACAGCTGGTACGTTACATCTCAAACATAAGTCGTGATATCTCCGTATACACTCGTAGAAAAGCTACGCCTGCTAGCTAAAGTATGGATAACCTTCTAATTGCCCAAATTTTAAGAAACATTAATTATACCATGAAAAGGAGACGAATGACCTACGAAGGTCTATTAGACACATTTGTAATTATAGATGAACATGACAAATTGCGATAGACACTTCGGGCCAAAAAAGAGGTGTTTTTATTGGCATCTAGCGGGGTCTGTATCCATGTAATAGGCGTATGAAACGCACTGAAAATGAGGTGAAACCGTCTCAGTGAGATTTTGGTATTGTGATTTATCTCAAAAGTTAAATTTGGCTTAAATATATTTTTTCGAAAATCCTTTGCATATTTATCAATGATGTCTTTTAAAACTCTGTAATCGTTATTCTTAACACTAGCATCGCCTGATCAGAAAAATAACCTTTTAATCGTGGCATACGTTAAGACTCGTATAGCATAAACACTGCCATTTAGTTTTATCAAAGACCTCTTTCTAAGTTTTTTTCGTGTGTTGAAAAATATAATGACAACCCCTTACGCTAATAATCTACATTTCACCCAAGTTTTATGACCGTGAAATATCTGCAAATATTTAGCAGGTCATAAACATGACAGGTTCCTTTTTCATCAGCAAATTTTTTATCTGTTCTGTGAAGTAAATGTTCACCTAGGGTTAAACAGGAAAGGCGAGTAGGGCTTGTATTCGGTGCAAGCCGCGCGGTTTGCGTTCAGATTGATTATCTAAATCTGTCCTTGTACTTTTACAGCGCATGTCTGGATTGTACAAACTCGCTATGCAGATGGTCGTCTGCAATATACCATTCACACATATCAAAGACGGCACACCAAAACAAGATCTACCAAAAACAGACCGGGTTTGTTGTAGGTATAGTTCTGAGGTATCGCATAAGTTTCATCAATGGTTCATTCACAGGCCACATGTAACAGTGGGCATTCTGCCATACAAAAACGTATCGAAATGCCGCGAGCAGAAATGACTATTTTTTTCAAGATAACAAAACCAGTATTGTTCAGTGTTGATTTCATCAAATATCCATTGATATCATCAGATTATCATAGTATCTCTTCTGATATTGTCAAATCGACGTACACAATCGCTGATGGTATAGGACAAGGATGTTTCCTCTGATGATTTAAGATACCTTGTCATATTGCTACTCTTCCCCGTCGCTGATTTTCTAACGAGAAACTCTTTCTCTGTATATGTTTTAAAGGGAACTCTATTTTTCCTGTGATATTGCTAATAAGACGACCTTTCTCTAAAGATGTACTGAAAGATCGTTTTCTTTTTCCTTGATGTCACCGACGGACCGCTGTCTTTCTCTGTTGAATTTAGGCTTATATTGATTAAAGAAAGCTTTCTTCCCCAGTTGGCACTATCAAAGGAACGCTTTACTTTCTCTGATGATATTATCTAAGAACTCTTTCATTTCGTTAAAACGCGAAAAATGTGGGGCGCCATGTAGAATCAGGGCATTTCCTCTGTGACATCTGTGATGGGACATAGAAGAAACCATCATTGATCGACTGCCCCCATTGCATCATTTTGGATCTTTATGTTCTCTCTCCACTTTCCAAAGAACACCTTTGTTTCCAGTACCTGACTTGGCAATACCCTTACTTGTTGCCTAAGTGTTGAGCGTTTCACGCTGTCCCCACTGCACACACCCCCCCCCCNCCAAAGTCTTTCAACATGGAAATTGCTATTTCCTGCTTAACGTTCAGCATTTAGGGTTATCACAATAACTGGGTTACCCGTTGTATAATGTGACCGATAGGGAAACTCTGCTTGGTGCCTTTTGCACATTATTTTAGTTTGGTAGCACTCTAAAGTTGGCATCTTGTGTGGGTTATCGTAAGGACATAATACATCAATATATACTGCCTCCAGCACACCTATAAACATGCACGCATACATTACATCGAACAGATTTCTTAGTTCAGTAATATCACTGACCTATATGCTTCCTGGAATGCCTGTTTGATAGGCAAGACGGAGTAAAACTCCTGCATATCATAAAATTATGCTTGAACCCAGCTATCGTTTCAGTACTTACCGGTCAGACACCCAGACCCCGTGTATGGTAGGGGGTGATGGAGCCGTGGTGGGGAAGTCGCGAGCGTGACGAGCCAGCGCCTTACACGACGGTACAGGAGGGTCGTAGTTAGATGCCCCTTTTGCCAACATCACGGCCGAAACTGTAAAACAATGATACACCAATAATGTCATGTTTTCATATGACATACAGTACACTCTTGTCTCATACATTCCAAAAGTAGTTACTGAAAATGATCCATTTATTTAACTTGTTATTTATGTTTTATTGAATTTTATAAAGAAAACCAATTGTATGAAATCAACATTCGTTTCATGAATTTACCATACACTTAATCTATATGAAAAGATAAAAGTATGCAGATATTTTTGAGAAAAGACTTCTACAAGTATTTTATGTATTAAGTATGTATTATCAATATAAAATATAATAAGAAAAGTATATTATAAATATATACAATTAATACTATAAATCATGTAAATAACTATGATACCTCTACGCGTATTACTTAAAAATAGTATATGTTAATTGCAAATGTATGTGTATTACTGTGGTATGAACAGTGTACATGCTACCTTTTTTACATTACAATGAATGGTCAGTTATTGTTGTAGGTAAATGAATATGTCCATTATATACACCTGAATACGACGGTGGTATGCATATATATTTAGACGACACAATTGTCCTCGACATCCTTATTGGTGAAATCATAAACACGTGGAGGTCAGTTTATTGTGATGTTGGCTCGGTATTGCTATTTTTAGAAACATCAGGTCAATATTTGCTATATGACGTCAATTCAATTGAAACATCACATTTCTCTAAGCCAAAACCAGTACTTTTCCTTTGATTAAATCGTCATTTACTAAAGCGCCGGCTTGATAAAAGACAAAATACAATAATCTCATATGTAATATTTAAGGACTTTTCTTTCGTTGAATATGTTTAATATGGACCTAAACATGATATTGACCTAGACTTCGTCTCCGTCAATATCGCTTTTTTCAGGCCCCTTTAACCACACATTCACCGCAACAAAAGGCCATAATTGATAGATGTATTACACACCCGTGTGTTTAGTACTACAGTGGCTGATAAACCAATTCTTCCTCGGGGTACATGCATCTTTATATCGAGAGAGAAAAAAATGAAATGGATATGTGAAATGAAAATTTCATAAAAAATGCTGGTTAGCTAATCATTTATAAAACATATGTGTTAATAATAATATATAACGGAAAGAACAGACACCAACAATGAAAAGGTGTAAATCTTACAAACCTTAATCATTTTAACCTTCGGTGTTTTTGCTACTACTTATATATTTTTTGCTTTAAAATATACTTTAATACGCTTTAATAGCCGCTACTTGTAGCACCTTGCCATATATTCAACAAGTGTTTTGTTGTTCAAAGCTTAACAAGTGATGTAATACATCCGGCTTTACACAGCTCTCAAGTACCTATCTCAAGTACTGGTAGCATCCAATAAAGATATGGTCTCTTAACGAAAGCTTAGAATATCAACACATTTTTTTACCACCTTGAATGGCCGTGTGTGTTGAGCTTATTTATTTTAGCTTTAAACTGGTGTTTCGCAAGTTCCCCAGGTCCTTAAAAATGGTAGTTGTTATCCCTTGTTTAACGTTCAGCATTAAAGGAAATGATAACAACTGGTTCACCCGTTGTCGGTATAATGTGACCGAACAGAATGCTGTGCTGGGTGCATTCGGGATGGTATTTTATTGAGATAGCATTGTAAAGCTGGCATCAAATCCGCTCTATCACACAGAGATAAATACGCCGGCATACCCTGTCTCCAGCACAAACACACCCGTAAGCACGCATACACTACACACATGGAGGCACGCCCTTAAATGACCATCTCCTCAAGTCTAAGATTTCCCATAGGCAATGCATTGCTTGATTTTCCTTAACTTTGAGATGTTTTATACAAGTGGGCCAAACTGTTAATAGGTCGTTAAACCCTTTACAACCAAACAAACATAAACCCTTTACAACCAAACAAACAGCTAACCACAAGTTCTAATTCATTTTTTCAAAGGTAATCGTATTCTTATTTTTCAGAACAGTGAAATGCTAAAGGTGATACATAATACAAAGTAAATGAGTGATGGTTTGTTTTAGTTAAGTTTTACTAGGTTTAACATCTTATCGAACAGCTGAGGTTATTGAGGAAGTACCTCAATGTGTGTTATGAATGCAAGCAGGTACGTATGCAAGGTCGAGGCAGAGTATGTTGGTGTATATGTCCCTAGTCATAGCGGTGATCTGATGCTGACTTTAGAGTGCTACCTCACTGACATACCATACGAAAGGTACCAAGCACAATATTCCACGGGAAAATCGATTATTGCCAAGTACCCGTTGCTTAACGTTAAGCAGGGAATAACAACTAACATTTTTAAAGACTTTGGTATGTCCCGGTCAGAATTTATCTATTTAACTATAAAGAGACTACTGTAAAGACCTATTTTTCTGCGGGTTTTAAGTTTTTCGATTTTTTTTAGTTATTTTATTTCTATGGAAAAGTCAACCCGCGAAATAATCATGAAATTAAAGTGTTTTTTAACATTCAGTCTTTCTGTAATGGCGACAAGAATATAAATCAATAAATAATATATCCCCATCGTTATTCGTCGATATAAGTTACTGTCACACTGTCGCTTGTAGAAGTACTATATTTCTTATCAAAATATAAGAAAGGTTCGTTGAAACAGTACTACATTTATATGACCTGAGAACGTTCTTTATAACTGTACTGTATCCCCGGGTACACTAGTGGGATCGTATACTATTAGTTATCTCTGGGTAAGGAGGGTTCTACGGGCTCAAAGACCCCGTTTGTTCTTTATAGACCCGGAGCCAAAGGCGAAGGGTTTATAAAGACCAAAGAGGTATATGAATCCGTAGACCACTCCTTACCCAGAGATAACGAATTTGTCACCCTGACAATCTTCCATTTCATTTTTTTCTCCAAATATATGAGTCACTTTGTGGGTTTGAGTGGTACTTGACCGCTACCAAAATAACCCCTACCGGATATCTTTTCGGCAATATTTCAAACAAAACACAACCATCTTTGTAATAAGCACCCTATTGCCTGTTTCGTTGCAATTGATGTCGTTAAAGATTGATTGTAGGCTATTTAACCCTGTGAATGATTTGCAAACCTCGAACGTTTGTGTGTGTCGGACGCCATCTTTGTTATTGTGAACAGAAATTCTGAATTGAGTTATCTCCCCTCGCATATGCTTTTATATACCCCGGGAGAGCGGGGTCTATATTTCTATAGACCCCGGCAAGATATCCATTCAGACATAATTTAACAAATTAGAAGGGTGACAAAGTAATATCATTGAAAACAGTAATATATCCCTGGGTCCACTAGAGGGATCGCTGTATGCCTATCTATATCCCTGTATGCAGTACTATATCCCTGGATACACTAGAGGGATCGCTGTATGCCGTTATATATCCCTGTATGCAGTACTATATCCCTGGGTACACTAGAGGGATCGCTGTATGCAGTACTATAACCCTGAATGCAGTACTATACCCCTGGGTACACTAGAGGAATCGCTGTATGCCGTTCTATATCCCTGAATGCAGTAATATATACTTGGGTACACTAGAGGGATCGTTGTATGCCGTTCTATATCCCTGTATGCAGTAATATATCCCTGTTTGCAGTACTATATCCCTGGGAACACTAGAGGGATCGATGTATGCCGTTCTATATCCCTGGGTACACTAGAGGGATCGCTGTATCCAGCACTATATCCCTGAATGCAGTAATATGTACCTGGGTACACTAGAGGGATCGCTGTATGGCGTTCTATATCCCTGTATGCAGTAATATATCCCTGTTTGCAGTACTATATCCCTGGGAACACTAGAGGGATCGATGTATGCCGTTCTATATCCCTGGGTACACTAGAGGGATCGCTGTATCCAGCACTATATCTCTGAATGCAGTACTATATCACTGGGTACACTAGAGGGATCGATGTATGCCGTTCTATATCGCTGCACAAAATTAAGGGAAGGTTCAGTCCTATGCCGAATTATCTTAATTTTTATTCGATCAATGATCAAGAAAAGTTTCTTTTTTTTTAAAGTCCAAACTGAACATCATGTCAACCAATACCACCATTGCACAAATCGCATGATAACTGTAAAGAGGATAATTGAGAAAAGAAGCCTGTCGTAACATTTAAACTAGCTTATAATGCTTGATTAAACTGGAATCGTATTCCCCATTATCATAAGAACATTCCACGGAACGCTCACAATGACGTCATAAAAGGCTGTCCTCGGCGTGCAATGTGAGTAAACAAAGCAGCTCTGAGCTATCATCATTGATGAGTTAACAATGTGCAAAGATATTCCTTAACAATCCGACGGGCGTCCAATATCAGACATCTTGTCACAAACAGACATCTCGCAAAAAAAGAAAAACGGCAGGTTTGTTTACGTCATCCTTATTAAATTACAACAAAAAATAGATATTTTCTCCTTGAATCGTTGACTTGAAGTCTTGGTATCAAATTTGTATTTAATCTCAAATTAGTGTCAGTCAATTCATTCAGGTGTTTTAGGCAGCTTTGATGTGAAAATTTTAGCTATAAAATACTACTAGATTCTGATAAAAAATGGATCATACTGGAAAGGGAGTTTTATTGTCGGAACAGTTAAAGATGCTAACAGACATACTCTCGTAAATAATTTATCTTCAGATGGTATGCGACTTATTTTTGGTTTACGCCTATTCATTATATATATGCTAGAACTAGTAAGACTAGGTCAGACTCCAAAACTTGTTGTCTATGTATTTTTCATGTATTTGCCGTTCATATTCCTATATAACTAAAAGTGAAGGGAACAATAAGATATGTTTTGTTAAGATTCCTTTAAATCAAATATCTACGGTATATTTCAATATGTCATCCTCTCTTATTGTTAATCACGAAGTACACTATAAATCAATTATTTTTCCAGATATCTATTTTTCAATGTATATTTATTTACAAATTTTGAAACAAACCCAAAGTATTCGAGGACCTTAGTTTTCGCGGATTTCCTAAAATGCTTCATTTCGCGGGATCTTTTTTCGCGG